AAACAATTTAGAATCATCGTTTAATTTCATTGATTATGAATAATTTATGATTATGATATAATTTTAGTGATCATTATAATCGCTGGATCTATACTTTTTTAAACAAAAAAATGGTAGCATTTTCTAACCTCTAACTTATGCAAATTTTCTGAAGACATTTTATTATTATTTTTATCTAATAAACTTTCACCCTAAAATAACTATCACAATTAAGTAAAAAATAAATAAATAACTATCCTGTAATGTCCAATTTTGCAAAATAGTCTTAAAACTTTAAAATATACTAAATATCTTTAAAATGTGTTCAAAATATAATGTAACAATAATAATGAAAATGATGATAACGAAGATGATACTGATGATAATAAATGGTTTATTTCATAGAAAATCTATTAAAATCTATTAAAAGATATTTATTAATAATATGACAGAGAAAACTGAATGTAGAGGTACTGTGTCGAGATAAAAGTGTCCTCAAACTACTAGACACATAAAATAAAGATATTTTTAAAAGATTTAAATAAGTGGTATTTTTTCCCTAAACATTGTGTATAATGCACCTTCTTGAATCTCCTATTATTTTCATCATATCATTTTATGTTCACTGATTTCGATAAAAATGCCATACAGTGTGACAGTGAGATTTGTAAAAATTTCATATTTGTCCATAAATGTAGTAGTTTTAAGTAATCAAAATTAAAGTGCCACTTTTATCGATTTTTAATACCTCAAACTTGTTCTACTTAGCACATGTTAAAGTACTTTACACAAAAAGATGACTGGCATTGTCCTTTTTTGTTAGCATTTCTGGTTTGAAAGATGTTCAAGTTTTAAGCTTAGGAGGTTGACGTCATATTTTAAACTCAGTTTCCTTCAACATAGATTAAAGTATATCTCTAAGAGTATTTGATGAATGTATTTTATACTTTGCTGTATTCTTGTATTCAAAATAACTTTAGCAGAATTTTTTTTGACTAAATTGTCTATGACCATAACAGAAATTTTATTCTAGCCTCATTGTAAACCATCTCTTGTTAAGGAAGAAATATCAAAAACTGTATTTTTCATTTTTTATTAGTCTTCATAGGTAATTTAGTGAAATTATAGTACTATAATACTACTAATTTTGGACTGAAATAGAGCTTATCATAATATAAGCCTTCTTACAGTAAGTATTGAGTATACGACATCATTAAGAAAATTGGCAGCTATTTTTTTGATTCCAGCATCTTTTGAAGTCAAAAACATCTTTGAAAAATGATCACTTAACTACCAAAGTTCTTTCAATCCAGGCAAAAACAGTGAGTCAGAAATTTGATCATAGTGGCACTTAAAGTTCAAGTTTTTTTTAAGGCCCAGTTCAAACGTCGAAATTTTGCTGATTCAAATCTAATAGTTGTATTTCGCACATGAGAAGTGAATGTCCAAACCAATTGAATTTGACAAATTGAAGGCTCAAGATTATAGTGGTTATTGATAAAAGACAGGCCTAGTTGCATCATCTTGAAACAAAATGGAGGTGTCAAAGGGAATGCAAATGTGCAGTTCATGTTTCAAGGACATGAATAAAAAAGTATTATTTGTATTAACCTTTTTGCACTACATTTGAAAATGACAAAGTGTCAGAAGGATGGCAAATGAGCCGGTGAGTTGGGTATTGCGATCCTTGTTTAGAAGGATCATAGTGTTGATATAACTTAATGATTTTCGCAATACCCTGAACATCTTCTCAAACCTAGTGTCTGAGTTTTGGTGCCAGACCTTCTCCCACCGACAGGTGTTATGACCATGTCACCTGAAACTTCAAACTTATGCCTCGGTTTGATTGTTGCTTTGTCTTGGAACTAGTAAAGTTGCCTCCTACAGATTTACAAATGCTGTATCTTGGCTCCTAGCAACAGAGCTGATGTGCGTGATAGGAATTCTAGGCATTTTTTTAACCGCAATAGTGTTACATAGGAAGCTCTAAAGCTGACAAAAGTGTTCCATCTTTGTTGTTTCCAATTGTAAAAACCACTGGCTCTTGTTGTCACTTGCTTGTGTAAAGTAAATTGCAAGTGGCAAAATTAAATCAACATTTGAATAAGATGCAGAAATTAATAAATTTCAGTCAAACCCGGTCAACCTCAAGTCAATTAGGTTTGATGCAGCAAAAGTTCAACGTTTGAGCTGGGCCGTAGTTACATGTAAATGTACATATACATGTAAGTCCTATCTTACTTGTCTTTCTACAAATTTCCTGTGCCTTAAAGTGTAAAAGTGACAGTCCATAGTAATTTAAGATCTTAGCAGTCTTCTTGTTTTGATCATTAAAATGAATATATGTTATAGATTTGTCTTTACCATAAGATGGCATATTGCATTGTATTTATCTTTATTGCTTTGAAAGAAATTCTTCCTAAGCCATTGAGATTCTATTTCACCATTTATGTTTATAAGCTTTTCTTCAACAAAAGGTATGTCAAGTTATTAGACACAGTCAATCAGAAGTCAGTGTCCTTCATAAAATAAGCTTTGAGGATAACAACTCACTTCCTGCTTGACAGTGTAAATGCACAATTCATATACTGTAGTCCAACAGCTGAAATTGTATATATTACTTAAAAACCAATTCCGTCATTTTATGAATTTTCATATTTTTTCATTTTCAATAATGTAAAAATTTAATTGCAATTGCAAAAATTCAGATATCTTAAAACAGTTCAAGGAATCTTATGAACCAAAAACCTTCTAAAAGTTTGTCACATTAAATTGCTTTGACGGTATTTTTTACTGTAATTGAATCAAAAAGCTCTGCCTACATGTAAGTCAAAGTCAATCGAAGTATATATACTGTACTCATACAAAAGCATGCACGCCTCAAAATGATTCAATATTATCATCATCATCATCATCATCATCGTCATCATCATCATCATCTTCATCATCTCTATTCATACTTACAGTGCACCTATTTTCCATCCAGCGATGTTCATTAGTGATGATATTGAAATAAAAAAGTACATCTCCGGATTTACACTTATATTCAAACCATTCATTTTCAAAGTGACTGAGCTAAAATATAAATAAAAACACAAATTTCAATTACATAAGGAAGTATGAATAATGATATAAATTTAGGTTTAAAAGTTATAAGAAGGCATAAAAAGGCAGGCATAAAAAGGAATAAAGTGTTGCACGAGAACTGTTTCTTATTTTTTTATAATTACTGTATGTAAATTTTAAAAACCTACAACATACATGTATCGGCTATTTATTATTACTATCATTATTATTATTATCATTATTATCATCGTTATTAATTATAAATAAAAGTATCACTTACATCTAATCTGCTTTCTTCATCTTCATCTATTGGCTCTTTCTTTATTTTTACATCATGTGGGATGCAAAAATTACTAGGATCCATACTTAGATTACCATTCTAAAAAAAAATAGCAAGGTTTTATCAATAAGGTGATTATACTCACTGTATTTCAGTAAAGTTAGATACCCGCAAAACTAAAAATCTGAGACTGGCAAGGATTACAATTACAGTAGATACACACACATTTTCATATGTTTTCAACTGTTCAATACTATTGATGGACTTGAGATAGTTTGCTAGTTACAGTTTTACTAGAGTACAAACACTATAAGTGTGCAACATAAATACCACTAAATACTGCTAAATTATGTTAATCCTATTGTTTTCTATTGTTTAATTAGCACTATTTACTATTAAATAGTGCAAAGTGTTGCACGCTTTTAGTGTTTGTACTCTAGCATGATTCTTAATGGAGGTTTTACCTATTTACCAGACTCTGCTCACTAGTTGCTAAGGAAAATGGAAAGGTTTGTTAAGTAAAACTTAACAGTTCAATGTAAAATACATGTAGAAGATCATTTTGCAAATTATTCTCTTCTATAGCATAGGCTACCATAATTGTACATTAATAATTTTTATTATGGGAGCATTGACCAATAAACATGTGCAGAACTACACAATACAAAAAAATTTAAGTCTTTAAAAAACTCCTTCTAATTAAGAAATGTATCCTTTGTAAAGTTAAGCATGCTATATCTTATCATGATAGCCAATCATTTTTCTTGCATCATACTACAATATTGGGGTTACAAACATTCAAATAAAAGATGTGGTATATGATCTTTTCATTTATTGTACAATAAGCTGGTTTATTTAGATAAGAGCAAGATATTCAATCATCACACCTGAAATTCAACTAAAACTAAAAAAATACATAGATCAAAATTCAGAGTTTTAAAATACCTAAGGTGAAGGTGCTGCAATTTTAATTACATCTGCAAATGGTTAGACCTTTAAGTATTTTTGAATAAGGGCTTTTAACCAATTGCCCTTTCTCCCTACCCCTCCTTAACCTGTAAAAGGGAGACATTAAAGAACCTGTAGAAATATTTGTGTAAGAGTGAGGAATTGTCTCCCAAACCAACAGTATATCCCAATTTGGGGGCATAATACTAATATGGTAACAATTAGCTACTGATTGAAGCGGCACTGCTGCTAATAATGCCTTATTATACAGCCGGTAAAGTCCTCAACTAATTATATATATAAAGCACATTAAGACAATGTGAAATGCACTATATAAGAACTTCCCATTATTATTGCTATTACTACAGAAAAATGTACATACAGAAATTCAAGAAAGATGTTTTGTGCTATGTAGATGACATCACTCACGTCATGAAATATTTACCAATCATGAATAGTTTCTTTTGGAAAATCAAATAAAAATTGGGAACGGCTATCAATAAATCATTAAACAGTGATTGTTTAGCAAAATTAGATAAATTAAACTTTGAAAGGTATTTCATCTAAGTTAACTTTTGAATCACCTTTGATTCACAGTTACTACTATAAGAGTAAATGGTTTGAACCCAGGTGTTGAAGTTTGTTGTGAAATTTGATCGTCTGGGTGAGAGTAGTCTTGAGAAAGACTGTTGTTCGTGCTGAATGATGTTTTGAACAACCTGAGCGGAAGTCATCTTCACAGTCCATCGACTGTATCGTGTTTTTTCACTGGACTCTATCTGAAGATGACTTCTGCTAAGGTTGTCAAAACCTTAGCCGGCACCAACAACCATCTTTCTCGAGGCTACACTCACATGGATGATCACATTTCACAACAGTTACTACTATGTTTGAATGAAAGAAAATATATATTAAATAATATTACATCATTTTATATGCATATTTTAGAAATTTTTATAAGCTTAATAAAACTCTGCAAAATTTCCTATTTGATATGTTCTTCAATTACACATGCTAAGATAAGAATAGATCTTGCATGTGCACATTTTTAACATTTTGAAAATTTTTTACACTTAAAAGTGTACAGCATTTCTCTTTTTTGACCAAGAAACTAGCTGAGTCACATAAATTGTTTTATTGGGAAGTCATATTTAACATAGAATAATAGAATACTTCTCAAGTTTGCCAAGAAAAAGCATTCTTACTAAATTATTAAATTATTGCATGGGCAATGCTGTAATGTGTTTCTAAGGCACATGCTAGCCAAAATTATATTTAAGTTTAAAAAAACACATCTAAGATTTAATAGGAACCATTTAATATTTGGTAATTTAGCATATCATATTGGAGAATTAAGGGTTGCCACTGATTTTAGATTTTATTCAAACGTTTTGGTGTTACTGCAGCCTTCGTAGTAAGCGAGGCCAAATATGCAAATTACGTGCTGTAATATTAGATGTCATATAAAATCTTAAAATCATTGAAAACCCTTGATTCTGAGAAACCCATCGAAGATAAAACATAAAAATTACTAATAATTATAATACATTCTCTCCTCTATAAATAAGGTTGTTATAAGCAAATCAAGAACAATTGAGATAAAGGCGTATACATGCATGCATGTCCAAGAAGCTACATCTTAAAATTTGAACCAATCTTAAACGTCGACGTTCTCTTCGCTGTCTGTTAAGATTACTTGGTACTAGAAGCAAAACATAATCAATACTCTCCTTTTTATCAATGAGTATTATTCAAATTATTCAAATTTGGTCTAAGAACGTGGAAAAATCCGTGTTTACACAAAAGAACAACCTCAAATGTAGACAGAAAATGGCAAATATTTAACACTTATAATTATCTATTTTTCAAAGAAAATTGGCATTATCTTTTCAAAAAGGTAAGAATAAAACATTCTTCTTTCATATATATTAAAATAAGTCTTAGATTTATAAAAAAAAAATGTCTCAAAAACAAACCTTTTGATGAACATGTCAACCTCTTGAAACTTTACAACACTAAGTAACACTGCGCATGCTCAGCTTCCATTCCACAGGTAACCCGAAGGCTTTTTTCGAGAGGAGAGGTACTGGTAAATATCACAATAATCACTGAGTCTGAGATGAATAATTGTTTTAGCATAATTTTAGAATTGAATATCAGAGAAAAGACGAAATTTAGGATTAAAGAAAACATTTTAGTACTGCTTCTGTTCAGACAAACTATGTACATCAAACGCTCGAGCAATGATTATCGTGTCAGAATCAATAATAATAATAATGATAATAATAATAACAATAATAATTATTATTATAATTATATAGCTTCTCATTAATCCCATATAGGTAACTGTCCAATTATTTTCTTAATTGGACAGGTCTTGTTGATATGGGATTAATTAGGCAGCTATATAATTAATAGGTAATGGGATTTCATGCTCCCCAATCAAGAAATAATTAGACTCGGAAAATTCCTCTGACTGCCAAAATGGACTCGGCCTACGGCCTCATCCAATTTTGTCAGTCCTCGGAATTTTCCTCGTCCAATTATTTCTTAATTGGACAGCATGGACCCCTATTACTTACACTAATAATAATAATAATAA